AGGGAGGAGGGGCTGGGGGCTGGGCCCTAGGGAGGCAGGGCCTGCAGGCCAGCAGAATTTGGAAGGTTATAGGGGAGGTAGGAGGGGTAAAACTGGGGGCTCCCCTGTGTGTGGGGGCTCTCCTCTGATCTGTGACAGGCTTGGGGCAGGATGTTGCTTCTGAACCCACCAGCCCCACTTCCTGTGACAGGAAATCACAATGGCAAGTCCTCCAACCCCCAATTCTCTCTACATAAGAAAACAAAACTCTGAACCCTCCTCCCTCAGGGACCAAGTGAACTTGGACCCACAAGTTCTTTCCCTCGGGATCTGATCTCTTTCTGGCTTCCAGTCCCAGAGAAATAAGGAACGGTCCTCAGACAGCTCATCCCCAAGGTGCGTCTGTCTCCCTCACCTGTCAGTCTCATTGGCTCTCCTTTCCCCAGCCAGCACTCGCTGGCTCTTTCCCTTGAATCTACCTCATCTTTGCCTCTCTTCTCCTTGTTTCCTCATTTTCTCTCCTCCTTCCTTCAGATCTGTCTCATTTCTCCCACTGTCTCTGCTGCCCCGCCCTCCTCCTCTTCCCCTTGGCCATCTCCACCCCATCCCTGCTTGTGTGCTCCCTGCCTTTCCCTCTGTCTCAGCCTGTTTTCCCACATTGGTTTCCACAGCCACTGTCCCTGCACCCCTCTGAGTTGCTGCCTCATTTCTCTCCCCTGTCATCTCCCTTAGAGTCTCCACTTTTCCATGTGTCTTCCCACCAATGTCTTCTGTGTCCTTAATGAGTCTGACTAATGCCACACGAGCCCATGTCAGGTGGGAAGAACTGTAGAAACAGGGGTGGGGTGGACCCGTGGGGGGTGCTCTCTCCCCCTGCACAGCCTAGGACTATTTGTAACTGTAGTCACCTGAGATCCACCCTTCTCCCACCTATGGGGTGGCCCACAGGCCACCTCCCTAGCACTCAATAAATGGCAGCTATGCTTTTGATCATGATCATTAAATGGTGAAGCTTCCTGGGGTGTCCAAATGCCACCCCGTGAGTTCACCCGGGCAGGCACCATTTTTATTCTTTTCCATAAAGGGTATCTGTCCAACATTCAAGCTGAGTAATTTAAGAGTTGAGCATTGTTAAATGTTCACATAAATAACATAGCAAACCAAGGCAGAAAATAGTAGTAGTTATTTATTATGAGAGCTAAACTTACACAGCACTTACAGGGTGCCAGGCATCATCGCTCTATAAGCTTCTCACATAGTAGCCCACTGAACCCTTGCAAGCATAAGCACCCTGTGCTACTGTTATTCCCATCAGAGAGGGAAACCTTCACCAGGATGTCAGCAGCAATTTCAGGGCTGGAAAACATGACCATGAACATGGAGAGGCCATGCTCACCCCACTTAGGAGTGGACAGGTTCAACAGAAGCAGGGAGATCCCAAAAGAGCACAGGAGCGGACACAGGTTATCTGAGCAAATGTGAGGCAGGCCCTGAAATCACACACTTGATGCATATTATCTCCTTCATTCCTCGTCACAGTAACGTGAGGCAGTAACTAATACTTAATGTGTGTTAAGTGCCACTAAGTAGGTGCCAGGCACTGCATTACTTCTTTATAAGTAGTAACTAATTTAATCCTCTCAGTGACCCCATGAGGTCATTGTTACTATTATCCCTACTTCACACAGGGGGAAACAGACACAGCCCACAGAGGACAGAACCAGGATTCAGACCCAGGCCATCTGAGTTCAGAGTTTGTGCATTTAACTGTCAGAGCATGGGGAACACAGCCTCAGGAAACTCAAGTCTGAACCAGAGCTGAGACACATCAGGTTTCTTTATGGGGCCTGGAAAAGTCAGGGATATGTGGGCCCTGTTGCCTGGGCAGGAGTGCTGCTCCACAGAGGGTTGGGGCTGAGGAAGGCTGGGGGTGGGGGACTGGCTGCTTAGGAGATGAGGGTGAGGGGCTGTCACAAAGGTTGAAGCTGTCAGATGGACCTGCAGACAACTGACAAGGCCTGAAGTGCTCTGTGCATGGGGCTGACAGAGTCAGAGAGGTTTAGGGGTGGGGATCCTAGGGCAAAGCGGGCACTTGTGAGAGATAATGTGGGCACCTGGGTTCTACGCAGGGCTCAGGGTCTATATGAAATACTGAATGGATGATCCTGGTCTCCAAGAACCTCTGGGAGCCTTAAAGAACCTAAAATACAGAGTAGTCAGTGTGAGTCTATACCGGGCCCAGATTCTATTTGACACACGGCGGGTCTACAGGGATCCGAAGGTCACACCTGATCATGAAACCACAGGAAAAGTAGCCAATCTAGGGGATGTCTGGAGACTTAAAAGGGGACCAAAATTCTATAGGGGCTTGTGGTGGTGCGTAGACCAGGATCTACAGGGCCCTGAATTCTAGGCGATACTACTGATCCATGGGGTCTCCACGTCTGTAAGGAGTTGGATCTCTACAAGCGGGTAGCAGAAACCTGGAGAGTCTGTAGTACCTTGTAATCTACTTAGAACGTGGCGGGTGTACACGAGCCCCCAAACCTACATGGGAAGTGGCGGGTCTACAGGGGCCCCAAATTCTACAGAAAACGTGGCTGGGTGCATTGCCAAGGATGCTGGAGCGGACGTGCGGAGTCAGGGTCTCACGCCCACCAGGGGCCGCGTACCTCACCTGCTCAGGGACCGAGAAGCCACCGCAGCTGCCAGAACCGAATCCTCAGCACGCCGGCTTCGAGGTGCCCCCCACCCCGGCCTCCAAGTCGCTCTAGCCGCTCCAGAGGCCGCCTTTGATTGTAACTCCACTCCTCCCACCAGCCGCTCTAGCCCGGCTTCTGCCCTGTGACTCTACTCCTCCTGCCGGCTGCTCTAGCGCTCCGCTGCGCCACGCTGGCCAGATGGGGCCGCTCTGGCCGTCTCGGAGGGCTGGCGTTTCCGTATCTCGACTGCTCCCGTCACTCCCCGGGGCCTCGCCCCCACGCCGGCGCGAGGTGCGGATAGTTTCTGCCCGATCGCCAGGGCTCAGTCGGAACTCTCAAGTCACCGGGCCTCTTAGTTCCACGCCCCATTCTGCCTCCCCAACTCGGGGACCAGTCGAATTCCCAACGCTCGTACATTTAGTTCTCTCCGTATTCCCACTCCCACCCCGGCCCACTTTCTGCTGGACTGGAAAGCAAAACCCCTGGGTTCCAGCGTACCTTTCCCTCCGACATGCGGCGTAACCTGGAATAAGCAATTGCTTTTTCCCGAGCCTCAGTCTTCCCATCTATGCAATGGGGGCAGATCGCCAGCTCTGTCCCCTACAACCCAGCTCCCAGGGTATAATTAATGGCCCAGAAAAAGAGATTTCCAAAACGCTTTCGAAAGTGCTCTGCGCCTTTCAGCTTCGCAGCGGCCCGCCGCGTTAACTGTCGTTTTTCCGCGCAGGTGGCCAAAGCACAGCAAGCGGGGCTGGAGGACGGCGCTTAGCAGAAAGCACCTGCGAGTTCGAATGCCAGCTCCACTCGGTCTCACGACGTGTGCGCCCTGGCACGGGTCGGTCCTGCCCCCGGGCCTCAGTTTCCCCACCCGTACAGAGCGAGTGGCCATCTGTCCTCCGCTGGACACTGGGAGGCCTCGCCCCCTGCTCCCCGCACTGGCACTCGGCAGGAATTCGTTCTCCTCCCCTCGCCCCTTTGACAGATGGGAAAACTGAGGCCCGGAGGGAGGCCGCGGGCTCGGGGTGTGTGTGTGTAGGGGGAGGGGGGGCCGGGGAGGTCCCTCCGCGGCCGGCCGCGCCCCAGCCCCTCATCCTCCTCCCACTTCCCCGAGCGGCGGAGGGGAGGAGCCGGGCGGGGCCGCGGGCCGCGTACCTGGTGTCCGCGCGGGGAGGTGGCCGGCGGGGCGCCCGAGGTCGGGCTCGGCGATCCCGGCCCTGCGTCCCGGCTCCCGCTTCCTGGCTCCGGCGGGGCAGGAAGTCGGGGCGTTTTTCCGGAGGCCCCCGCCCCGCCGCCCCTCCCCGCTTCCTGCCCGCGCCCCGCGCCCGCCCGGCACCTCCGCTTCCTTCCCCTTCTCGCCGCCCGCCGGGCCCCACCCCTCCCCGCCGGGCCGGGCCGTGGGCGTGCCGGGCGCGGGCTCCGCTCGGCCCGCGTCCGCCCGGGTCGCAGCCACCCCCGGCGCGGCGGGCGCAGGCGCGTCGCCGCCGAAAGGCAGCCTCCCTCCCGCTGCCGACCTTGGGTGCTGCCGCCCGGTCTTCCTCGCTCTGTCCGCCTCTCGGGGCTTCGGTCCCGGGCCGCCCTGCCTGCCTGTCTCTGCGGGGGCGTCTTTCTCTCCGTCTCCGCGTTTCTCCGGTGGGGTCTCCCCGCCCGTCCGCCCTCCGCTCCGTGACTTGTGCCCTCGGAGCCCTGCCGTCCCGTCCCTGCTCTCTGCGCGGTCACCTCGGCACTTGCCCACCTGTTGCTTCCCTCTCCGTGTCCGTTTTTCTGTGGACTCTTCTCTCTCTTCCTCCGCTCCCTGCTGTGTCTCTGATTCCCTGTCCTTCATTGTCTGCCCCTTCACCAGCTCTGCCTCCGTCACTGTCCCTCCGCGTGTCTCCCCTCTCTGTCTCGGAAACTCGGCATCTCTGTGACTGCCTGTCACTGCCCCTCCGGTTAGGGCCACAGACTCTCCAAATCCCCTGCCCCAAGTCCACTCTCAGAGAACAGGTGTAGCCACAGAAGAGTTCCGTACCAGCCCCATCTCTGCCCCCTGTGATTCTGGGACTTAAATTCGCATAAACAAATGTGGCCACTTCTGTTCACTCGTGTGTACCCCCTTTGCAAGGAAGACATGGGCTGGGGAGGGGCCCTCCCCAAGACACTTTCTGTTTCTCTCAGGGGGCAGCCAAGACTGGCTGCTTGGTGCTGGGTAGTGGGAGTGGGCAGCAGTGGGGGGCCCAGAATCTTGGGTCTCAGGGAAGAGGGGACTGGAGGCCTGGACGCCTGGGTCCCAGGACAGGAGGGTGGGCGATTCCCATGAGATCCATGACTCCTGCCAAGATCTGCAGTAGGGAAGCATTTATTATCACTAAGTGGCCATGCCAGAGCTGGGAGGGGGAGGTGACATCGAGGCAGCTACAATCAGTCCCCTAGAGGCAGCAATTAAGGGCTCATTACCAGCTGGGTGGGAGCCTGGAAAAGGCATTAGAAGGGAAGACAATCTACAGGGAGGAAGAGCAGACCTCCCAAGGGGGAAGGCAATGCAGGGCACTCCCAGGAATGACTGTGAAAAGAGCAAGTTCCAGGGAAGGGGGAGACACTGGAGCTGGGGCCACAGCAGGCAGGGCCAGCCAGGCTGGCTGGCCATAGTCACGGCTTCTCCAGCTGGACGTCTCCGATGTGGAGGCTGCCTACGTCCTGGTAGGTGCCCTGGAGGCCCCGGGAGATGTCCTCATACATGGAGCAGTCATCAAGGTTCAGGCCCTGGGGTGCAGACATGGCAGTGGGCCTCAGTGTCCTGATACTCGGGTCCCTACCTCCCACACCCCATGAGGGCCCCCTGAGGCCCCCAGAGCACCTGCTCCTAACCTGTCCCAACCCTCCACTCACCTCATAAAGATTTTCATCTTCATAGTCATCCCGGGCATCCACTCCGAACTTCATATTCTGCCACCGTTTCTGTGGGGGATTGGGAGCCTCAGTAGGGGGTGGGGAGATGGTGGAGGGGGATATGTTTTCAGGCCCTTCTAGATGCCAGGAGGTGCTTTGTCAGAGCAAGTAAGGGATGTTGCTCAAAGCCACATGTCAGGTAAATGGCGAGTCTCTCTGGGTGGGAGCCAGTCCCTTCTGGCTGTCTCCACTAATAGCAACATCAGTGGTAAGTAGCTACAGTTGCCCTGTGGCCTAGAGAGACTGCAGGTCAGAGAGTCTGGGAGGCCCCTAGCCCCCCTCTCCCCTGACCTTGGCTACATTTGAAGGGGGCAGCACTTCTGGGTCAGAGGAGAGTAAAGAGCCCTCGGGGGAAAGCCGGTGGGGTGGGGTTTGTGGAGAGAGAACACCCCTGGAGAATGGCAGTGAGGATAGCCTGAGGGAAGGCTGGGCAAGGACACCCCTCCCAGCACCATGTAAAATCCTGTTGTTGTGTTAATTTGTTTACCCTCTATAGCCCCTGTGGGGTGGGTGCTGTCATTCTCCCAAGTTTTAGGTGGGGACCCTCAGACTCCAGGTCCTGGCCCCAGGTGGCTCACCCTGAACAGCAGCAGTGTCCCGGGCACCACAGCGCAGAACAGCAGGATGATCCCCTCGGCTGTGATGATGTTGTTCTTAGTGCCCTCTCCCATGTCCAGGAAGGGTCTGGGGGTCGGCTCTGTGAGGAGGGTGTTCTGCTCAGAGCCCTGTGCCCACCCAGCCCCAGCCCGGCGCCCGAGCAAGGCCCCACAGAAGTCCCCACTCCACAGAGGAGAAAGGGGTCAATGTACCCCAGCAGGGAGTGAGGGTGCTAGCCATGCAGGCACTGGCTCCGTCCCCACTTCACAGACAAGGATCCCCAGAGTCCCCAGCTGCGGATTGGGGGGGACCCTGGAGCCAAGACCCGCACTCACCGCGCACGCGGAGGTAGGTGCCACAGGAGCGCCACATCACGCTGCCGGTGGCGTTGTCTCTGATTTCGCACAGGTATAGGCCTGAGTGGTTTTTCTCTGCTTGTAAGAAGACGAGGTCGCCAGTGGGGCCCTCGCCATAATGTAGGTACTGAGCGGGCCATGTGTAGTTTCCTTGGAGGACTCGAAACCACTTGGCATCGGTGCCCTTGGGGATGCTGCTGTCGTACAGGCACTGGAGGCGGGCCTTGTCCCCCACACTCACCGTCAACGATGGAGGGCCTGAATTCACCCTCAGGGTCTGGCCCCCTGGGCCTGCAGAGAGCCGGATGAGTCGGGGACTGTGGATCTGCACACTGACTGCAGCCCTGGCTCCAGCACCTGCCCCACTGCTATGTGTGTTGGTGGGGGGGGGGGGGGGGAGTATGAGGGCATGCCTGGGGAAGGATGGGGAGGTGGGGCTACAGAGGGCATGTAGTGTTGGAGCAGGAGCGAGGGGCTTACCCAGGGGAAGAGAGAGAGACCCCTGGGAAGAGGGAGAGAACACACCTTGGGGGGTTGAGGACATTCTGGGGGAGGAGAGTGGGACACCAAGGATGGTGACACACCCCTGAGGGGTCCCTACTCCCTTCTCCAGTGCCACCTCTTGCGTTTGGATACTCATCTCCCTGGTGCTAGAGTGCCTCTGCCCAGGCAGCGACTTCCACATCTAGTTAGGGCATCACCTCCTCCAGAACGCCTTCCTCGCCTACCTTTCCCAGCCCTGCCCCGCCCCCGACACTTTGTCTTACGTAATCTTCACAAAACCTTTAGAGGAATGTTCTCTCATTAGGCCAGTTTTGCAAGTGGGACGGCAGAGGCCTAGGGCAGCAGGAGTGGCTGGGAGTTCAAACCACGGCCCCCAGTCTGTGGGTCTGCCTCGGCTTGTGTCTCTGAGCTCGCCCCTCTTTCTCTGTAACTTGCATGTGTTGGCCTGGGGGTCAGGGGTGAGTTTAGTTCTTGGGCTGAGGATTAGGGGAGTGTCTCAGCAAGGCTAGTGGCCCAGACTGGGTGCTCTGAGAAACCCCAGCTTTCCGTGCCCCAGGCTGGTCCACAGGCCTGTGCTGCCTCTTAACTGAGAGGGAAGTGGGGGAGGTGAGGAAGAAACAAGGAGGAAGAAGTGGGGAAAGAGGCAGCAACTTCAGGGTCAAGGGTTCTAATCCCGGCTCCCAGTGTAACCTTGTGTGACCAGCTTCCTCTCTGAACTCCTCCGTCAAACAGGTGGTCACGGCCCCTGCCAGCTAGCTTTGCTGAGGGAGGCTGGGGAGGGTGGTGTCATGAGGCACCCCTCCCCCAGCACTAGAGGGGGCTCCTACGTGTATGTGCGGAGGAGGTGGGGAACTGGGATTCCAGCCAGTGAAGGGGAAAGCTTTTTCTTCCCTCTGGAGCTGAGTGCTCCCCCAGGTCCCCTCCTGTCCCCAGCTCTGAAGCTCAGCCAAGGGCCTTCTTAATTCCTCATTTTGACCTGTGGGACAGGGTGGGAAAGGCAGTTCTGGCCTCTGCCTCCCTCCATGGGGTGGTGGATGCCCCTTCAATATGGCTGAGCCCCCTGCAGCCTCCCCTAGGCCTGTCTGAGACAAACAGAGGAGTTTCAACACACGCCTCTCCCCACTCCCTTCCTGCTGGCTCCTCTCTGCCCTGCTCCCTGAAGCCCTTCCTTCTGCCCGTGATCTCTCTCCAGCCTCCCCAATATCCCCTCCCTCCACCCCCCTCCCCTGTACACTTCTGTTAGCCACCTACTCAGGCCGGCAGCAGCGCAGATCAAGAGGAGGAAGATTGTCTCAGGCAGGGGTTGCAGGACCCCCGGACCCCCAGGCATCTTCTACCAGTGGGTTGGTTCGTCTGGGTATGCAGCAGTCCTGGGGTACCAGACCCCAACTTGGTGGGCCCCAAACTCCACCCTACTTCCTGCCCAGCCCTCCCGGAGATGGGCTCCACTGGCGCCACTGCTGGGCGCTTCCGGGCAGCTCCTGCCAGCACGCTTCAGGCTGTGAGCGGAGAGGAACTGCTCCCTGCACCTGTGTGGCCACAATTCCCCTGAGAGGAGCTTGCTTGGGTGGGGGAAAGAGGCTAGTCCACGGCCTGGCTGCTCACTGGGTGCCTGCTGTGTGCAGGTGGTCAGGGCAGCGACTCTGAGCTTTGTTAGTCTTTGCCCCTACTGGCCTTGGAGCAAATGTGTACCCTGACTGAGCCTCTGTGTCCTCACTTCGTGGGGTTGGGAGTGAGGGTTTAAAGGCATTGTGCATGCACAGCCCAGAACACACCACCTGCCACATAGTAAGTGCTCAGTAAGTGTTGGTTATTATTAATGCTCACAAGGAATAAATGAGGCAGGCCTCTTTATGAATAGGCAGTGGCTTCCCTTTCCCAAAATGCCAAGAGTCTTGGCATTAAAAAAATTTATATTTTATTGTTTATACTATAATCAATAAACTGTAGTTGTCCTGATTTCTCCCTCCTTTGTCTCCCTCTATCCAGCAGTCCCCCAATCCCTCAGGCAATCCCCCCACCATTATTCACATCCATGGGTCATGTGTGTAAGTTCTTTGGCTGCTCCATTTCCTATACTGTACTTTACATCCCCACGGCTATTCTGTAACTACCTATTTGTACTTCCTTTTTTTTTTAAAAAAAAAATTGTATTTATTTTTAGAGAAAGCGAAAGGGAGGGAGAGAGAGAAACATCAGTTGATTGGTTGCCTCTCACATGCCCTCAACTGGGGACCCAGTCTGCAACCCAGGCATGTGTCCTGACTGGGAATTGAACTGGTGACTTTTTCATTTGTAGGCTGGCACTCAGTCCATTGAGCCACACCAGCCAGGGCCCTATTTGTACTTCTTAATCCCCTCACCTCTTCACCCATTCCCCTACACTCCCCTTCCTTCTGGCAACCACCCAAATACTCTCTATATCCATGATTCTGTCTCTGTTCTTCTTGTTTGCTTAGTTTGTGTTTTAGATACAATTGTAGATAGATATGTTTTTAAAAATTTTTTGCAATTTTATTGTTCAGTTTTGATCTTCTCTTTCTTATGTAAGTCCCTATAACATTTCATATGATAATGGAATGGTACCCTGGTTGGTGTGGCTCAGTGGATTGAGTGCCAGCCTGTGAACTAAAGGGTCGCTGGTTCAATTCCCAGTCAGGGCAAATGCCTGGGTTGCAGGCTTGGACTCTGGTTGGGGGCATGCGAGAGGCAACCACACATTGATGATTCTTTCCCTCTTTTTCTCTCTCCCTTCCTCTCCCTAAAAATAAGTGAGTAAAATCTTTAAAAAAATATAATGGTTTGGTGATGAAGAACTCCTTTAGATTTTTCTTGTCTGGGAAGCTCTTTATCTGCCCTTCAGTCTAAATGGTAGCTTTGCTGGGTAGAGCAATCTCGGCTGTATGTCCCTGCTTTTCTTGACCTGGAATATTTTTTGCCAGTCCCATCTAGCCTGCAAAGTTTCTTTTGAGAAATCAGCTGACAGTCTAATGGGAACTCCCATGTAGGTAACTAACTTCTTTTCTCTTCCTGCTTTTAAGGTTCTCTCCTTATCTTTAACCTCTGGCATTTAATGATGATGTGTCTTGGGGTGGGCCTCTTTGCATTCATCTTATTTAGGACTCTCCATGTCACTTGGACTTGTATATCTATTTCCTTCATCAAATTAGGGAAGTTTTCCTTCATTATTTTTTTCAAATAGATTTCCAATTTCTTGCTCCTTCTCTTCCCCTTCTGGTACCCCTATGATTCGAATGTTGGACTGCCTAATGTTGTCCCAGAGGCTGCTTATACTATCCTATTTTTTTGGATTCTTTTTTCTTTTTTTTTTTCTGATTGGTTGTTTTTTTGCTTCCTTTTGTTCCAAATCATTGATTTAATTCTGGGCTTCATCCACTCTAATGTTGCTTCCCTGAAAATTGTTCTTTATTTCAGTTGGTGTATCCTTCGTTTCTGAGTGGATTGTTTTTATGCTGCTGTGGTCCTCTCTAAGTTCTTTGTGCCTCCTTGTAACCAGTGTTCGGAACTCTGCATTGGATAGATTGCTTATCTCCATTTCTCTTTCTGGAGTTTGATCTGTTCTTTCATTTGAGTCATATTTCTTTGTCTCTGGGTTTTGGCAGCCTCCCTGTGTTTGTTTCTATGTATGAGGTAGAGCTGTTTTGACTCCCTGTCTTGGTAGCATGACCTAATATAGTAGGTGTCCTGTGGGGTCCAGTGGCACAGCCTCTCCTATCACCCAAGCTGCGTACTGGAGGTGCAACTTCCTTGTGCGCTGAGTACACCCTCCTCCTGTAGTTGAGCCTTAGTTGCTGTTGGCAGAGCAATGGGAGGGATTTACCCAGGCCAGTCAGCTGTAAGGATTGGCTGTGACCACTGACCACCAATGTCCACCCTCCATGGAGGATCAGCTGTGCAGGGAGAGTGTGGTGGTGTTCCAACATGGTCTGTAGCCATCCATTGGGTGTGCTGCCCTGGGGTTTCTTGAGTGGTGCAGGCCAAGATCAGCCCCAACTTGTGTTTTGCCTGGGGCCACCCTGCGTGAGCTGTGAAGTAACCTGAGATGGATGCCACTTGTGCTGGGCTTAGAGATTCCCCGGTGAAGCCAAGCTGTGAATCTAGGCTGGCTGCTGCTAGTGCTAGGCCTGGGGCTCACTGAGGCCAGCTGTTGCTTGTTTGAGAGGATTTAGGAAGTTGTGAAGCATGAGACAAGACCAGACATTCACATGGAAAAGCAGCTTGAGTGGGCCCATAAGTTGGGTGGGGCAGAGTCTCTGGGGATCTCCAAGGTGGGTCAAATGGTGTTAGCCAGGTTGATGGAGTCTCAGATATGGCACCAGCTTGGCAGCTTTGTCCTCTGTGGGGCAGGTTTAGAAAAGGGACAATGACCTCTGTTTGCCTTGATGCCAGACACCTCAGTTTCTCCCTCTATGCCACTGGTGCCTTTCAAGCTGCCATCCTGGTGCTGGAGCTCAGAGGGAGTGAGTCTGAGTAGGTGAGTCCATGTGAGGGTTCTTTACAAGGAACTGCGTGGGGCTCTAGAAGTTTCTCCCACCAGACTCAATCCCTGCTGGTTTTCCAGCTGACGTTGTTGGGACTTATTTTCCTGCCACTGGAACCCAGGGCTAGGGGCCTGGTGTGGGGCTGGGGCTCCTTGCTCCTGAAATAGCCCTCCCAAATTTTTATCCATTTTTATCCATTTTCACGTGTGGGTGAGGGACCAGCTTGTTCCACATCTGCGCTCCTACCAGTCTGGGTAGATGTGGTTTCTTTAATTCTGTAGTTGTCAGACTTCCATTCAACTTGATTTCTGATGGTTCTGAGTGATGGTTGCTCTATATTTTTGTTGTGATTTTTATGTGGTTGTGCGAAGAGATGAACCATGTCTACGTATGCCGCCATCTTGAGTGGAAGTCCTGAGACTTGGCATTTTTAATCTGGGAGATTAGGGTAAGAGTATCTCCCTAGTGTTGGCATGAGATGATGTTCCCTGTACCCAAACAGTGAATAGCCATGGTGGGCATTCTTCAGTCAGCCTCCCCACAAGTGGTCAAGCCCATTTACAGAGGAGAAGCTGAGGCCCAGAGAGGGGATGCTGTCCCTGTCACATGCCTGGTGTTATATAGGCTGGTGGTGGAGCAGGGATTCAAAGTTGCTGTGTGTGCCCAGGTTCCTCTGAGCATCATTTTAGGTCACATGGGAGTGAAATGAGGTCTGAGGGGTGTGGAACGATACAAGGTTGTCGAGATGTTTCCAAGCAGTGAGGGGACCATCACACATCTGCTCATAGAAAGATACACAAAGGAAAAAAGTACTGCTGGGTAATTTTTGGTAGCAAAAACCAGGAAACAAGCGAAAGCCCATGTATAGGAGAATGGATGTACACCCTCCTCCGACAAAGAAGTGCACAGCAGGAGGAAAGGCAGAGCCTCCATGTCGACGGGGCTGCACTGAGGAAAACAACCCCATGAAAATGAGAAGGCCGGGCAGCATGACACAGTTGACTTGTTTTTAGAAGGCAAAACAACACTGTGTGCCAATAGGGGCACTGTGTCTGTAGTGAAGGTGTAGACCCCTGTGGGGCAGCAACAGCAGTTCCTGAGAGGCGTCCCCTCTGGCGGGAGCCAGGAGGTTGTGACTGGGAAGGGTGTGCAGAGGGCTTGGACCATCTCCACTTTATGCCTTGTTTTGTTTCTTAAATTGTGTGGTGGGTCCATGAGTCTTTGTTACACTACCACATGCAATTTTGCTTGCTTGAAGTATTTCATAATTTTTAGAAAAGCAACCCTCACAAAAGAGCATGGCCTTCAAATCGCCATCCCTGGGTCTGAATCTCAACTCTGCCAACTGACTGGTCAGTCGTCTGAGCCTCAGTTTCTTCTCCTGTAATCTGGGCACAACGCCCCACCTTGTGAGGCTGTGAGGGTGCTTAGCATAGTTCCTAGAAGTTCCTCTTCTTTGGCCCAGAGGCCCTCTCCCTTTTCCTCCAGGGCCCCCAGTGTTCTGTGGAGACCCTCGATGTGTATATATATATATATATATATATATATATATATATATATATATATATATATATATATATATATATATATATATATCAGGTCACTAGCCCCTCTGCGCTTCAGTTCTTCCTTACGATCCCCTTCTAAGGAAGAAGCCTGGAATGGAGGCTGCGGCCCTAGAAATTCACCTTTCTTCATCCGCCAGTGGCTGAGCCGGTTTCTAGGCCCTCGACTGCCGCCCAGCGGCGGAGAGGCGCGGCTGCAGGATTGCGGGCCCTCTCAGGGCTGGCTGGCCTGTCTGGGCGACTCCACCTCCCACTCACCTGGTGCCTCTGGGGTCTGGCGCTGTGCCTGGGAACCAGTTGACTGGCATTGCGTTGTCACGGGAACTCTTGGAGATGTCTTAAATCTCAGCAAAAGAGAAAACTG